TGCTCCTTTAATAGCCCAGAGAAGTTCCGGATATTCTTTAGCATTGTTAACTATTGTCCCATTTGCTAAAACAATTTGTGCATCAAGAATATTATCTGATGAAAATCCATATTTTCGATAAAGAAATCCCATACCCTGATAAAAAATAAATTGATAAAAAATAAATTGAGGTTTATAACTTTATAGTTCAAAACCAAAATAGGAAAAAATATTAAAATTTTCAACTAATGCTTACACCACCCGTTAAAAGTCCACCAACTCCAAGATAAGGACAAATACCACCTGGAGAAGCGAATCCATATTTATTTACTTCGTAATATATTGACTCTAGTGTATTTCCTGTTCCGACTAATGCAGTTTGTGAAGTTACATCTACGGTAATTTTATCAAAGTTTTTAGTATCAACAACTAAATAACAATCTTTATCACCAACTCCGTAACCTTCGTAAGAATGAGCGCCTGATCTTGCAACAATAGGATTATTTAATTTTGTTCCACATTTAATAGCATTTTGAACATCTAATGCATCTATCGGGTGAACAAATGCTACTGGATAATGGATAACTCGTTTATTATATTCTCTATCAAGATCATAATTATAGGAAAGAAAGTCTTCTCGAAAACTGATTTGTCCCTTAATGTATTGATAAAGACACTTTCGAAGGGAATCTTCATTTGGACATTTTCCAGCCGGAAGAAGGTATGTCGAAGCATAAATTGCTTCAATTAATAAAGTTATAATGTATATAATGTATATATAGGAAATCATTTCTTAAAAACTATTGTCGCAGCTGAAAATTTTAAATATTTTACTGTGAAATTTTCAAAAATGTTTTTGGATCATGTTCTGTGTTCTTTTTTTTTAATTTTTTTTTTTTTTACAGTATATGTTTTTTTTTTGATAATTATGTTCAAAAATTAGGTAGCCAATTCTTAAGAGCTTTGCTACGATTTTTTTTAAAACCTTTTAGAGTTCAAGTATAATATATGTTCCCATGATCAATAAAATTGCACTTATAAAGTAGGGCTATGCCACATTTGTTTACTAAACACTAAGGCTTATTTTAAAACAAAACCAATTTTTAATTAACATTCACTGGTTGAAAAAAAATTTACTAGAAACTATCCCTTAAACCGTCAATATAATATAATTTTGTAGCTTTAATCACAGACCAATTATGAAATTTACAGGCAAATTTGCAAAACGGTTTATGGGATATTGTAAAAATCAAATATATAAATTTAATTACTAACGCATGAACATAAGCATAGCAATATTGAATAAATTAATCGTATTCTAATAAAATATTCTCATTCAAAATACTTTTTTTCTGTTATTATTTTCTTTGTTTGAATAAATGGCTTAGTGTTTTAAATGAGTAGTTTCAAAGCCATCCATAAAATTTTGGGTAATTTTGTTGCTTAGCGTTATAGAGTGTTATGGAATTAATTTATAACTTCAATCAGACGGAGTGTTAGTCTATTTTGAAACCCCTACTAACAATTGTAACAATATATATATTATAGTGCGATGGGTGGCGAATTCGCGCCATCCATCTTATTTAGTATTTTTTTATTGATATGTTATTAAATTATAAACTCTTACTAATTCTGTAATTATTGAAGTCATTAACCTCTAGTTGTTAAAGTAATAAACCTACTAATTATAGAAATTATGAATATAACCATTGTCGAAATCACAAACTTAACCACTGTTGAAATCACGAATCAAATTACTATTGAAATCACGAACTTAACCACTATTGAAGCTGTTGAAGTCACGAATTTAATCACTGTTGAAGTTACGAACCAACCATTGTCAACATCAGAACCAAATCACCGTTGAAGTCATGAAGTCACGAACCCCATCACTGTTAAAATCATGAAACCGCTATTGGTGCTACAAACCTAACCAATGCCAAAGTTATGAAGTTACAAACCAAACCACTGTTGGAGTTAAGAATTAAATCATTGTTGAAGTTATGAACCTAATCACTATTGAAATTGCGAACCTAACTACTGTCAAAGTTACGAATCTAACCACTGCCGAAACCACAAACCAAACCACTATCGAAGTCAGAAACCAAACCACTGTCTGAATCACAAACTAAGGGTGCTCTCAAGCATCTTTCTCAGTGTAATTAGCTAGCTATAGAGATCGTGCACAAAGTACTACGATTAATTGAAGTAAACCTTACGGTAATTTCACGTTGCGAAACGCGGATATTAAATTTTAGCCAAACAGCACAACTCTCTGATCATCTTTCTTTTTCATCACGATAATGAACTCGCTTGATCGAATAATTTATTTTTTACTAATTAAAAATTGAACTCAGACCTATTGATTTAGATGCTTGAGAGCACCCTAAATCACTGTTGAAATCATGAATCAAATCATTGTTAGAGTTGCAAACCGTTAAAGTCACAAACCAAATCACCATTAAAGTCACGAACCAAACCATTGTTGGAGTCACAATCTAACTACTATTGAAGTTTGAAGTTACGAACCCAATCGCTATTAAAGTTGCGAACCAAACCACCATTAAAGTACATATCTAACCACTATTGAAGTTATTGAGTAACAAACCACCAAACTACCATTGGGATTACGAACCAAATCACTGTTAGAATTACAAACCAAACTATTGTTGGGTCACGAACATAACCACTGTTGGAGTCACGAACCTAAAATCACGAAGTCACGAACCAACTACTGGAAGTCATAAGGTCATAAACAAAACTACTGTTGAAGCCATGGACCGAATCATTATTGGAGTCATGAGTCAAGCTACTGTTACAAACTACTGTCACGGGATAAAATAGATCGTGACCAAGTTGGCGTGACCCGACATAGCACGTACAATCGATAATCGTACCGATCGATGCACGCATTCATGATCGAACCGAGATTGGATGAAACTTACATGAGCATCTCAATAATCGCAAGACCAGTGCAATGACTAAATCGGGTATGAATCGAAATGCCGACAATAAGGTTTCAGTGTGGCAAGCTCGGGAACAATCAGATAGTATAAAAGGTGAAAAAATCTAGAATAGAAAAAAAGCGAATTAGTTAGCATATATGAAAGCATTTGAAAATGTAAGAAATTACATATCTTTCGTGATGCCTGGAAAGTGCTAAAGATCATAATAAAGAGATGGTCATAAGGAATAAAGTCGTTAGTGTTAGTAAATTGGTTAGAAAAATATACTTACCAAATCATAAACACCTCAAGTAAAGAGCACTGTCAAATTACTTCTGACATTACCATTCGTGAACGAACCTAACCACTGTTGAAATTTCGAAGTCACAAACTTAACCACAGGTGAAATTATAAACTAATCACTGTTGAAATTGCGAAGCTAACCACTTTTGAAATCACGAACCTTCCATTTTTTTATAGGTTATGTTTTACATATAGGAGTAGTAATATAGAAGAAGGAAAAAGTTTTTAATCAGCCCTGGAATATTTAAAATATTTTGATCATATAAAAGATAGTCACCTTTCTTTAGTTATTACTTGTCTTATCGTGAAGGCCACCTCCTTCATTAAATAGCTTAATATACATGGGTGCCGAAATTGCCCATCTTAATAAAAAAGTAATTACGGCATTTAGGCAGCCGAAATTAGTCTTATGTAGTGCCGAAATTATTTTTCATATTTGCCGAAATTATTGCCGAAATTTTCTGAACTCTTTTCATCAAAATACATCATATAATATAGTTATTTCGAAGGGCTTCATATAAAAAATTTAGTAATGCCAAAATGTTTGCCGAAAATACGATTTTTCAAAAATAATTTCGGCACCCATGTATATTGCTTAATAGTAAAAAATACGATAATATTAAATAGTTAGTGTCGATCTTTGTGGCTGTAGCGATAATGCAGGATCTCGTTTTCGTTTGCTGCAATAGTAGTGCAAAGTTCTTGTTTTTAGTTTTTGGCTCAGTGTAGTGCAAAGACCTTATAATACTTAGCATTTATAGCAACTCATGATAATTACATTAGTGGTTTTCTTTGTAGCTATATGAGATTATCTGAGTTTACTATAAACTTAGATTCAATTGGTTTCATAGATGCATAATGTTGTAGGAAATTGGAATTGAGATTGGTTTACTATATTGTTTACTTTAGAGCTCATTAGATTTCTATACATATTATTAGCATATTTAATGTCACGGCTGATGCTGAATATTGGGGCCTACTTTGATATAAAATTTTAGAATTTTTTGTGGGTGTGTTTTTTTAGCCTTTTTGTAATAGTTAGACTAAAATTTATGGTTAGAATTGTTAATAAAAGAGTATATGTGGGTTTTAGTAGGGGTTGGGCAGCCTCTATGTCCGATGAATTTTACTGGACACCGGACTATAAATTTGTCCGGTATCCATTGATCTATTAACCAATATAGAATAAAGATTGGCAGTATATTACTGTCCTAATTATTTGGTTGCCTTGACTTTGAACAGAGGTTTTTTATTTCTAAAAAAAATTACGGATAATTTAGAAATTTAAATTTTATCGGACAACTCAATTGTCCGATTGCCCAACCCTGGGTCCCACACCGATTAATTTGACAGATTTAAGATAATGCATTCATAAGTGTAAAAATGCCATAGGTGCGTTTTAACAAAAGTCATTTATTATATATATTTGCAATCTAAAGCATTATTATTCGATAAATTTGAATTTTTTTTTCAAAGTTATTATTTAAAATTATTTTAGTTTTTGATTCATGTTATTCTATAATTTTACAAATAATAAGAATAATACTCAAAATACATTTAAGGCAGGATGTTGTCAGTGCCATAAGTGGTATAAAACCATAAATTACTATAGATGAAGTATAATAAGCCTATTAAAATAAGACATAAATATAATTAATTATATAAAATTATATATACGTATTCAATAAATAAAAATATTATTTACATACCAAAAGAATAATAAGTGGAATATTTTTAATAAAAATATCTACAAATGCTCTAATTAAAGCCAGTCTACGTTTCTTATTATCTTTAATAAACCTTTCTGTCAGGTCATCCAAAATTATCAGGGACTCACTGTCAGCTATTGTAAAAATAAAAAATATTGACTTTCCGGCTTTATTGACATCTTGATTGGTATTTTTGTTGATGTTTTCATTGACGTTTTCATTGGCATCTTTATTGGTATTTTTATTAATGTCTTTATTAGCATTATTAGCATTTTCATAGGCGTCTTCATTGGCTTCTTCATCGATATAATCATTGGCATCTTCATTGACATTTTTATTAATATCTTTATTGGCATTGTTATTGGCATTTTCGTTGGCACCTTCATTGGCACTTTTATTGGCACTTTTATTGGCATCTTTGTTAATATTTTCATTGGTATCTCCATTGATATCTCCATTGATCAAAGTCATATAAAGAGATTTCTTTTCTAAGTCATTGAATAAATTTTGATTGATGTTTTTTGATGACATATTTTTAAATTTAGTAGAAATTTTTGAGATTATTAAAGGAGATTTTTTTTGTATTGCATCAGATATATATTGTGTTATAGTTTGTATCGTACTTATAATTTGTATCGTGTCGAACATCTCATCAAATGACTCTGTTATCATCTCAGATTGTGTAATATTAAATTGATTTTCCTCGGAATATTTCTCAGAAAGTTCCTTAATTTTGTCACAAATTTTTGATTTTAATATTTTGTGAGGAATATAATCTGAGAGGTTTTGAATTTCTTCCTTCATCTTTTTTTGAAAACACATGTAGAAAAGCTCATTTAATAATATCATCTCTATCTCTTCTTGCACCACAGCAAAAATCTGTTTTTTAGAAATGCCGGAGCTTTTTGATTGCTTTTTATTACAAATTTTCGTCAAAATATCAACTATCCTTTCATTAATTGTGTTTTTTATATCGATTTTAGAAAAATCCTCTTGTACCTTTTCATCATTTCCCATTTCTGAAATTTCAAAAAATATATTGATAAAGGTCTTTTCAGAAATATCTATTATTTTT